GGGGCCTGTTTGGGCAGGCGAGACGCGAGGGGGACCGCCGGTTTGCCACAACGGCACGTACGAAAGCGCCCAGGAGTCTCGAGGCCAGGCTGGAAAGCCCGCCCTGAAACTTGTCCAAATTCTGGGATCTTCAGGCCTGCAGTTTTCACCAGCACCGTCTCTCTCCAACAAAAAGGGAGAAGCCCTTCCTGAAAGGATCGGAGTTGCATGGGTTTCCATGACCTTGGACTAAAATACCTTGCCTTTTTCCTCTGCAGCCGAGCGGCCAGCCCACGGCACGAGGGACCGTGATGCAGGCGGACGTGGCCCTAGCTAGGGACCGTCTCCAACGCAAGGCAAAGGGAGCAGCAAGAGCAATCCAAACCCAGCTCCTATGCCTCCTCCTCCTCTCGGTCCCAGTCGCGGTCCGACCCACAGCTGTCTTGTCCCAGAGAGCCCCTTCCTCCTCCCCACCCAGACTCACCCCTTCGTCCCCTGCCCCGTTCTTCTCTCCTCCGGTAGGGAAACAAAGGCTGACAAACGCCACGTTCGAAGCCTGAGACATTTTGCGCAGACATGCCAAACAGGAGAAGCTGAAATATAAACGTTATATGTAATATAAGACAGTTTTTAACAGTGGCGTGAGAAGTAGCACCCTCCAGCCGCCTCCGCCTTTCACGGTAGGCTCGTCTATAACACGACAGAGCCGTAGCTTGGCGTAGCGAGAGCTCCTACCTTATTGGAAATATCCCCCTTCGCTCTAGCGACCAGTTGTTGCCACGTTTGACTTCTGCATCAAGTTCAGGGCAAAGATTTGCGACTTGAACTAAAAGAGTACTCAGGGACATGATTTTCCCAAGCCGGCTTAAATACAGGAATCAGCAGACACTTGTTCTTTCGCCACTTAACAATACTCTCCACCTCCCTGCCGGCCCCCGAGAACAACTATGCACTACTGTTAGACACCCAGCAAATTCGTCTCACTAATGGGAAACGACAGAGAGCCCAGGGCTGTACGTTGGTAATTTCTGAGTTGTTCCAGCAGGCAGTTTCTAGCCGTGATGTTCTTTGGCCACCTCTGCCCCAGGCCAGCTGCTGCGAGCGTAGGGCACCGAAACCCCTCTCCCGGAGATACTACGGCAGCTGTCTAACGCAGATAGTTTCAGGCTAAACCGGCCCACCCTGCATCTCCCGTCTTCCGTCACACCTTAACAGCCAGCCAAATCCTATTTTAGATGCCCAAGTCTCCTACTCACTCAGCAGCACTACAAGACTCGAAGAAGAAACACAAAGGGGTACGGGCACAGGGGAGGAAGGGCAGACCGGCCACAAAACCCACCTCTTGTCTTCAGATGGGCCAGCGTCGCTCGGGTACCGGCACCGTCCTCCTTGCACAGCCGTGACGGGCATCGACGGTTTCCAACGGGTCCCGGCACTGGCGCCTTTCTCCGCCAGCTTCTTTCCAGGTTGGGCGCAGAAAGCAGAGGATGATTTCTTCAACTCGCAAGCCAAGCGCAGTCTTCTCTGAAGGACTCCCCGCTAGGAACAGCGGCGGTTAAGCAAGCAGAGATGCCCTGAGCCCTTAGGAGACACTACAACAAGGGAGGGCGCACCAAGGCAGACTACGTTATTTCTCGCGATATACAGAATATATCGCACGAACACCATGTTCCATCAGAAATAAATACAATGCTTAATATACATATAGACATGATTAAACACCACACTGCCATTAAAAAAAAAAAAAAAAGCCTCCAGGCCGGTCATAAATCTCTCCTCCGCGCCGTTACTTGTGCTCTAAGCACCAGTGGAGCCTCTGCAGTCATCAAGGAAAAAGATTTGGAGACTCTCATTGCTGTGGCAAAGGAACAAACAAAAAGCTCAGCAGTTCAGAAACACTTCATTTTTGCCTTCTGCTGCTTTTTTTTTTTTTTTTGGAGGAGAAAAAAGAAAGAAAGAAAAAACAAAGTCTGCTTGTTTTAAGACTCATTCAGAAAGCTTCTGAGAGAACCCCCCAGAGGAGCAAAGAGCAGAAGACGTTACAGCAGCGGCGCGCAAATGATCTTTTCCCCAGGAAAGATAAGATTTTTTTATGTTCACATTAAAGTAATTCCAACAGCGTAACAATTAAGGGGGCTAGGGTTTTATCCAGCAAGCCTTACAGCTTTAAGTAAGAAATCTCAGCTGTGGCTTGGATAACGTTGAAGACCTTTCCTCAGACACAGTTACGGCTTGCGGTTCAATTGCAACAGTTTCCGGGGGGGTAAAAATTAGCTTGAAAATGGAAAGGCCACCAGGGTCCCCTTAGAAAAGAAGTTTCTTACCGAGTACATCACCTACGGTCCGCAGCAGGAAAAGGCATGCTGTTATACACACAAAACGGCTCCCTGCTGCTTGTTACGAGCTGGATCCAATAAACAAATCCTCCTATGCCAGCGTCTCCGAAATTCGCAGTCCCCCGGGGACCAAACGGGACTGACTGTCGCTTCTCGCTCGCCCGGGCTCTCGGAGGCCACGGGCCCCAGACGCGGAAGCACTGCAACCCCTCGTCCCGAGGATGGCTCGGACCACCTCCCTCAGGACCGCGCAGGGCAGATCCTCAGCCGTTAAAACGCGACTCCCGGCCGCAAAAAAACGTTCTCCCCTCGTCCCCGTCCCCCATTTGGAGGAAACGCGCGGCACAGGGGCCCGGGGTGAAACCCCCCGCTCCCCGCCGCCGTTTGAACCCGGCTCAACCCAGGCACCGCCGGGATGAGCTCGCAGCTCTCCCGACACAATGGACATCTCCCACTGCACTAAGCCGCCGGCCAACAGCGTCTCTTCTGGAAAGAACCACTAAACACCAGTTAACGCACATCAACAAAAGTTTAATATTTTCCACAAACATCACGTAACACTAGTATCGTAGCTACCAGTGCGCAAAGTAAAAAGACTCTCTACCTTTGCCAAACCGGTGAGGCATGCACTTTTTCAGGTAGACGCACACTTAAAGCTGCAACGCCTGGTTGTGACTCACGTGTTACTTTACGACATGCGCGCGCAGTGCACCGCAATGCACACGGACACGTTACCAATAGGTAGGGCAATCCACATCTTAGGGGGTGCAAAGAGAATAAAGAGGAGGAGCCCCGCGCATTTCCGTCTGCTTTCCGCAGGAGAAGAGAGGAGGGAAAAACCACCTAGAGATCTCAAATTCATTTTTGGTAGGAGAGCGGGAATTAAATGCTGTTGTGGGGTCTCCCTCTTTGCAGAAAGAAAGCGGCGTGACTTGCAAATGTTGTTTAACTTCTGCTTTCTTAACCTGCTTCTCAATTTAGGCAATATGACTGCTATGCAAATACAACAATGGTATCGACTCGACGAGGACAGGACGCACCAAGCGTGTGTAATCTCTGTTGTTGTTCCAGTCCTTGGAATAAGCTGGGTTTTGTGGTTTGGTTGGTTTATGCACGCGGGTCCTCAAAGCTCAGGTGAAAAATCACCCTCAGATTCCTTTCTACTCACTTAACTTCAGCTGTTGTGTTTTGAGTGGCTGCTTAACAACATTAAAGATTAAAGCTTTGAGTGGAAGCAAACACCCATTTAAGGCGAGAGGAGGCAGTACACGTCCGAGCGACACCGTTTCGCTGCAGGGTCAGTAGACCGGCAGCCGCAGTGCCCCCATCCATGCTAGCAAGAAGAGATAGGAAGTATTTTTGTAAGAACTCTTAAGCAGGGGTGTACAGCACAGCCTGCCTCGGGACCATACATCTGCCCGTTTCCCACGCCGGGAGATTTGGATTACCCCAATCACCAACCACTTCATTTTACTCCTTCAGGATTTTTTTTGCCGAAACATTACAGGTTTTGCTGGGTAACACAACACTATTCACAGAAGCAGTAGGAAATACCAGTGGAACCAGATCTGTGGGACAAAGGCATTTACTTTTACCGTGACAAAACAGGAATCGAGGAAGCAAGTTAAGTCGCGTTGCCCAGTCCCACTATAGCGATAGACGCGTGCACGGTGCCGACGCACCGTAAACGTTTCCACGGCCGCTTGAAACGAAACAACGGCAGGTAGAGCTGCAGGAGGGAACTGTGGCTTCCCCGTCTCGTAAAAGCGTAAACCCCCGGGTCTCGTGGTCGGCGTGGTGGTGGTGGTGGCGGCGCGCTTAACAACGGGGATGCCGGGAAGAGCACGTTTTGCCCGATGCAACAGCAGCTCTCAATGCACATCACTTGGGGGCAATTTCAGCTCGGACAACAACCCATTTTTGACAGCTGCAGAAAGTATAGACTGATTTTCAATGACCTACAGATGGGGAAGGTACCAACAAGGTGAATGAGAAACATGCAGATTGGGGTCCAGAAAGAGGAGATATTATTAACAGCACACATTCTATCTTGTATCCTATTTTTTTTTTATGTCATTAGTTGTTTTTTTTTTTTCTCTCCGATAAAGCAGTGAGTTCTGGGTTTTTACCAGTTCAGACTAGGTAGTCGCTGCTTTATGAGAAAGTGCTCGCGAGGCAGCGTCGGGGCCAGGATGGAGGAGTTCAGTTCTGCTCGGCGTCGCGAAGCCTGCAGCCCACGGCCGTGATGAGCGCTGCCCCTTTGCCGCTGCCGTCCTCCGAGAGGAGGAACGTCACGTCGCACTTGGGCGCCAGGTCTTTCACTGTTTGGTGCATGATCCTCGAAAAGCTGCAAAAGGGAAACCACCGCGGTGAGGGAGGGAGATCCCGCCGGCGCATCGCCCCGGGCCCTCGCTAGCTACGCTTCCCCCTTCGCCACGGGAAGGGCGGTAACGCTGGAAACTACGGGGTGGGGGGTTTGGAGAGAGGGAGCAGCGGCAGCGAGAGGAACCGGTTTCTGGTGGGTCACGAAAAAGGACACGCAGCAACCTACTACAGAGCACAGGCAAACGCAGAGGCGTTAGGAAAATACTCACTGCGGATGTAGCTTGTAGAGCGTCCCATCGACACCAACCGTTATTTCCAGGTGCTCCAGTCCCCTGTTCTCCCTAATTTTATCTACGACCGCAGCCATGCCGGCGCCGCACAGCTGCGCCGCTCGCCGCGACACGGCCCCGCACACCGTCTTGACGATGATGCTGTCGTCGCAGGTGCTGTTCAGCCCCAGCTGCTGCAGGATGGTCCGCACCTGGAGCAAGGCTAACCGGTCGCTGCCAGGACAAGAGCAAGGCGTTAGGGGCCTAGCTCTGCATCGCTTCCCCTCGCCCTGTCTTTCCAAGGGTACGCCAGGCAAATATTTTTAATGACGACCTTCCTCCCTCACCCCCATAAACACTCAGTAGGCTTTGAGATGACTTTAAGGTGCAGAGTCCCAGCGATAAAGACACGAATAAAAACGTTCAGTAAAGCCTAAGCAGAGAGCATTCATTCAGCTCAGTGATTACACCTTCACACACAAGGGGCACAAGGAAACGGCTGGATTTCTAAACAAGTAAATGAAATGATCCAATAAGGGACTCTCTTGCGGCCACTGCCGTGATTTAGCTGTGCACATTCGCAGAAATTCAGCTGCCGTTTTAGAGAGCCGGCCTGCGTACGCGCAGGCTCTTCCCTAGGGCCGAAACCAAAGTTATCCCTGGAGGACCGCACCACGTTCTCCGGCTGCGCCTCCCAGGGCGACCCCGCGCTGCTTCGTCCCGAGCAGCCGCCCGTGCCGTGCTCTCACCTCTCAATCTGAGAGAGGAACTTGGTTTCAAAGATGTGCCTGGTCTTCAGCGTCTCCGAGATCTGACCTCTGAACAGGAAGCCCCGTTTGGTGAAGTCGATCAAAATATTGCGGACGATTTCCCCCAGGTACATGCCGCTAATCATCTTCTCGTACCTGGAAGAAAAGCCAGCGGCACGTCCTCAGGAAGCGGCCACTTGTGGCCCTGCCCGAGCGCACTCGTGACACGAAACGCACGACCTCGTTCGTCTACCCGGACCGGCCGCTCGTCCCAGAAACGAGGCAGGAGAAGAACCAGGCAGCGCGAGCCCGACTACCAGCACCTGCTGTAACACCAACACCATCATCTGCTCCTCGCTGCCGCTGAGGACATCCCCCAGCATCGCGCTCGTTTGGAGGCACTGCTGTGGGCGCCGTGACCGAGCTGGGCCCTCAACAACGAGAACTGAACGCTCTCCCGTTTATCACAAGGTACGTTTGGTGATGCATCATCCTGGCAGCTTCCGAATCGCCTCCTGAAACACTAAGCAGGAGGTTTGGTCCTGGCTGAAGCTGAGCCCGGCGCACCATCCCTCCCTGGATGCAGGCCACGCAGTCCATTTAAGACTGAGCCATCTCGGGCTTGTACCTGGCACGCGTCCTCCCTCCTAAGTGCTTAACTCTTCCTGGAATAAATTACTCCCCCAGCAGTCTCCACCGCCGCCTCTGGCGGCTTATCCCACACTGACTCAGCTGCTGCCTCGGGCTCTCGCACCTTCCACCTCTCCGGGTCTGTTTGCCTCCTCCTAACCTCTCGAGAGCTTCGCAAGGCACCTGCCAACTTATCTGCGTCCCCCAGGTTTGCAGTCAGATCTACTTTCGTCGCACAGTCTCTTTAACAGCCCCATTACCCTGCCATCAAAGCATTGCTGCGAAAAATGCAGGAAAAAAAAGCAGTCTGGGCAGGCAGCAACCTCCAGCACGCTCAGCTGGGTTGCAACGATGCCGACGGCACCTCCCTGACAGCCTCTTCTTCAAGGAGGCAGGGAACGAAGTACCCACATGTGAGCCGGACCCCCCAACTGAGACTCAGCCTCTAGGGCTGATGGACAGGTCCTCTAACATGAAATATTTCATCCAGCAAATTGCCTGAATCAAGAGCTATCTGCAACCGCTAAAAAGCTCCGGATGCCCTCACCGCTGACCGTGCTGCCTGGCCTAGGCTGAGGGTTTCTAGAGGTGAACCCTCTGCAAAGAGAGTTCAGCTAAAAGATTAAACCAGAGACCAGGAGTAAAAGAATAACAAGACGTTTTATCCCTTTTGGTACGACATGGGAGGAGAAAAAGAGCCTCTTAGTAACTACAAGGCTCTCGAAGCTCTCACCAAAAACCTCGCTGCAGCCCCGTGACAGCAAGCAAGCTCAGGGCAGAGGCTCTGCCCGGCCCACGCGAACGCAGCAGCCGCTAAACGCCCTGCGGGCTCTCGAAAGGGAAACGCAGAGATGCTGCTGCAAACCAGCCTGACAACGATAACGACATCGATCGCCAAGAGAGAGACCGCAGCACAGAGCCGGTCGTAGCTGTTTGCTCTTTTGGAGATGAGGGGAAAAAAAAAGCAGCTACCAGGAGAAGGGCAGACGAGGGAGATCCCACAGGACAGCATGGCCATTTTCCGCTCTTACACTGGCTCTTCTCTGACTGGGAGAAATTCAATTATCTCTTAAAAACATCTGAGACCGTCTGGCTTGTTCTTAGCACAGCACTCGGCCCGGTTGTCATGCAGTACCTTTGCTTGCCAGCGTTTAGCGAATAGTCATCAACTGCCTTGTCATATATCGTCCTGATGTCGTCCAGGCATCCGTTATCCCCAAAAGCTCCCCACTCCATGTTCACGCACATCCTTCCTTGCTCACCATCCACCATCTCTATGTTTCTCATCTCCTCCATGTAACAGGCATTGCTGCCAGTTCCTGAAACAAGCAGACACCAAAATTACTCTTTTTTTGAATCAGAACAACACCGGAACAAGCAGGAGAGGCCTGACAAAACCTCTGGTGGATCCTGAACGTGCGTTTTTCTGAACAGTGAAGGTCATTTCTCAGCACGGCAACAAAACCTCTTCAGGAATCCCCCATCAAGGGAGGCCGATACTGCAACGAGTTACTGCAGCGAGGAGCCCAGAAGCTCCCCAGGCAGGATTCAGCCTGCCTAAATTTAGGCTCAGAAATAAGATGTGCAGTTGCCCTTGGCAAGAACGAGAGACCTCCACAGAGCGCTTCAGATCGTCGCCAGGCTGAAGCGCCTTCTGGGGGGACCTCGCTCTTTCCGTTGAGCGCACAGAGCAGCCAGAACGAGCGGGCTCCCCACGTCACCACCTCCTTCGGGTGTCCACAACTGGGCAAAGCAAACCCACGTCCTCAGCGGAGGAGAAGCAGCGTGGCCCCTCCGGCAAGCCCATCCTCAGGCCCTTCTGAACCCAAAACCACAGGAAGCGATGACCTCGATTTTGAAGTTAGGAGCCACCTCTCACAAAGCCCGAGGACCCACAAAGCTCAAGGGAAAATTCGCCTAAGCGTCAACCTGAGCAAGCTCTGAGACATGAGGCAAAGAAAACTCCCAGGGATTTTACTGGCTAACAGAAGGACATTTTTTAGTTCTGGCTTGGTTTTTTCTGATGGACAAAATTAAATGGATTAAATCGATTCTCGGACAGGAAGGTCACTCCCGTGTTGAAACGATGCCACGGCTGATGCTGTTTAAAGGGGATCCTGAGGAGCGGGGCAATTACCAAGTGCTCTGTGCGCGAGGAGGCTTTAGGGAGCAGAGCTTTAGCAGAGAACAGAAGCACCTTTCACTGTTACCCAGAGCAGAAGTTCTCCTGAAGTTGCCTGTTCAACTCTTAAGTGTTGCAGCACAGACTTTGCTTCAGTCATATTGGCAAGTCAGTTTTTCTTTGCATTTTTTTTTTCAACAATACTGTGGCATAAACACTAGCTAATCTGCTGCTGTAGCTTCTCTACCGATAACGCAATCTGAACAAAAGTAAGTCCTTCCACAGTACTGCCCTGCGGCTGGAGAGCTGAGCCCTGGAGCAGGTTGGGAGGGCACGTCTGGCTTGGCAGACTGACCCGAGGGCCTGACCCAACCCAGCCTGGACCAGCAGCACCCAGCAGCCTCCCCGCACGACATCTCACAGTCCAGAACGAGCTAAAGAAGGGGCTGTCTGACTACCTGCGACCTACTAAACGCAGGCTTTTAAACTGAGGAACCCCGAATGCAGACTAGGATGTCATGTTTAATGTCAGCAGGTCTCCTGTTGCCAGTGGAGAAAGAGCAAAGGCCCAGTCTCATCTGCAGGAGCCTCCCGAGCACTTGGCAGAGGAGACCCCGAGCATCGGTCCTCCTCTTTCGGAGAGGCGCCAAAGGGCGGAGACAGGGCACCGACGTGATGCGGACTTGCCCTCCGAAGGTTATTCCCTGCCAAGCAACACGGGGGAAGTCCTACACCCCACGAGCTTTCACCCGGGGAGAGCAGACCGACGGTGCCCCTAGGCAGGCTCTTCAGCAAGGGCCGAGACAAATCACTCGGAGGGGGGAAAGGAGCCATGAGAGCACCGAGGCTTTCACTGCCGGGCCGGCGCCCGGCAGGGCTGCCGGAGGGGACCGTCAGCGGATGATCTCAGCAGCCCAAGGACACGCCGCCCTTCCTGCCGCAGCCCGGCCCCGCGGACGCGCCACCGGCAGAGCTGCACCGACACGGCGCCCTGCCCGTGCTGCACCGTGCTGACTCACTCTGGATGTTTTCCAACTGTCTGGAAGAGAAATCAGCGGCTTTTCATTTCCCTAAGAGCCACTTTGCAACTTAAAGGCCTCGCTTAACGCTCACAGCTGCCTAGTCCCCTTCTTGAGGGGGGATCTCCGTGGTGGGACCTTCTCTTCCTCGCTGGGCAAGGCCCCGAGAACATCCCTCTCTTGGGAATTCACGCCGCCACATGCCCCGGGCCCCCCACCCCGAGCGTGGCATTTGCAGATGGCACCAGCCGTCCCCTGTGGGATCGCTTCAGCTGTCTTATGGCTGGGGAGGGAGCTGCCCGCCCGCCCGCCGGCGCGCCTCCCGGGAGCTCACAGCTCCGCTGTACGAGTTTATTCCGAGAGGCCAAGCTGCGGGCTGCCGGAGCGCCCCGACAGGGAAAGCTGTTTGGGGCTTAACTAACAGATACCCAAGGGAGCTGGTGGAGCCACGTGTGCTTGCCGAGAAGCTCAACACCCTCCTCGTTAAAGCAAGCAGGGCTTGTTCAGCACTGCAGCCCACCCACGTCTCCAACGATCAAGCACTAAGCTGGCCGTTGAATTTTGCTCTTCACTCCTTCACGCAGCTGCCTTTTGAGGGAATATCTGGTAGTCTCAAAAGCTTTCACTCCTGGACGCCATAGCTACGTTTTTCAGTTGACCACGGGGATGGGAGCAGATGGACCGGAGCGCAGCACAGGCGACACCACCAGCGCCGTGTACCGCGGTGCCGCCTTGCCTCCGCGCAGCCCGACGCCACGCCGGCCGCTGCATCCTGACCCCGGCACCTGAACCCCAACTCCTGCCAGGAATTGGCCTGCTTTGTGCAACAGTGCTGTTTAATAAGAAAAATAAAGAGCTGAATAAGAAGCAGCTCGAGGACATACCCACAATGAGTCCAATTTCACAATTGGGGTCTTCATAAGCACAAGTCATCATCGTGCCAACTGTATCGTTCACCACGGCCACCACATCCAAGTCAAACTCCTTTGGAGAAGAGAAATAAAACATGAGATCTCTTCAAAATGACTACCGTTTGGGGGAAACCTCGGACACAAAAGGGGACACAAAAAGAGCACATGAAAGAGGACACTGGCAAAACACCCTGGGAACAAGAAACAAAGTGCTGGCCTGGATTTTACACATGCAGAAAGAGGAACTTAATCTACCAGCGGGCAGCTTGAGTTCCTCGTGTTCCTCAAGGCTACAACATCAGAAGAAAGTATAATCCTGGCTGTTGACTTTGGCTTAGGTGTGCTTAAATACAGACCTCTGACGCAGGCGGCCTGCAGCAGGCCATTGCCATTCGGTATTACGGCCGCGCCGGCAGCAAATCCAGCAGAGCTAAGGTTTTTAAGAGCCTCTTTTCACTTGCTCACAAAAATTTGCCAAACCAGCTACTGACTGCCCTCCTCAGGCAGTCTTCTTCCCCTTCCTAGAAAGTTTCAGCAAGGCGAACAGCCCCGCACGGAAAGGGAGGCACAGCCGGTCACCCCGCAGCCGCACAAAGCCCGGGCCAGGGAGCGAGAAGTACAAGGAGAGGAAAAAATATGCAGCTAAAATAAAATAATCACCTCTCTCCTTTTGATTCCTTCTCTAAGCAAATATACCACATCTTCGCCCTCGCAGTCTGTAGCTTTAAATCCTTTTGTCCAGTTTAGCAGTATACCCTAAAAAAGAAAGAAAATACTTTATTACTAAATTTCCGTGTGCACGGACTGCTCCAAATGCTGCAGTCCCCTGAGGGAGAATCACTGAGCGTTCCCGTCAGATAATTTCCCTGCATTTACCCACCTCCCTGGCCCGTAAAAGCAGAAAATCGTAACCGTGCTTCACCCAGCCAAGCGACCAGGGGCTGCTGCATGACCCCAAGCCAGTAGCCAAGAATATTTATGTGACTGCATATGTGCAAACAGGGCAAAGAGGCTGTCTTTGGGAGCTGGACATCTGAAAGCCGCTCCTAACGTCACTGCCTGTTTTTCCTCCTTCCTTAACAAGTGAACGTTCATCTTATTTTTGCTACGACTCAAAATTTTATTCTGCACACTTGAAATTTCAAATGCTTTCATGTGAAGTTACACAGAAGGCTCCCTGTGAAGGAGGAAGATCTTGCTCTGTATCTTTGGAATTTGCATCTAAAACCACTAATTATGCCTAGCCTCCAAATTTCCAGGACCGATTCATTCAACCTCCTGCCTGAAGATGGAAAACGAAAGAGGGGAACATCGGATGCCAGCGTTCGAGACTGGGAAACTACTTTTTCTGAAAACACTGTGGCATGGCTCACTACAAACCACATCGCCAGGAGACAGCGCTATTGCACAGAGCATAAAATGCAGCACACAAAAAGCAGCTGTGACAAAAAAAAAAGATATCTTTCTTCCAAAAGAAAAAAGTGCTAAGTGGAAGGGAGCTATTAAGAGCTGCACAGGTGCAAATCTGTTGGAGTAAATGAGTTAACCAAGGTCACGGGAGAGCAGAGAGGAACGAGGGGCTGCGGAGGGGGGCTCGACACGCTGCAGGCTGCGCCGGAGGCAGGGCGCTGGCAGCAGGGGCAGGCAGAACCCGACCCCGCCCCCCTCGCCGCTGCCACCAGCCTGCAAAACCAGGCGCTCCAGGAACACTGTGGCAGCTCAACAGGTCTACATGCCTGGAGAAACGACGATACTTTAAAAAGGGGATATCACCGCCATGGGAAATTTGAGTGCTATTACCTGCCACCACCACAGGCTGAGGAGCATTTGCATTACTGCCTCCAAAGGAGCTATTTATAGGGAGTATAAAGGAGCAGCTGTACTGGGCGAGATCAGGGCGAGAGCAGTAACCCTCCCCTCGTACAACCTTCCCGTAAGTATCACGCAGGGGATGGGAAGGCGGAGAATCAGGCCTGGCCTAAGCACAAAAAGCAGCTTCAAAGGATACTAAGGAACTTACAGCATCCAAGCTGGTCTGTTTGCAAGGGAAGGAAAACGTGAAGCCAAGAGGAAGCCGTGCACCTTTTATTCCCATATAATCCAGGAAGTCAGAAATGCAGGTAACGATGTGATCAAACAGCTTGAAAGAGAAAAGTTACACATTTGCATTTGTACATGTTACGCTTAAGCATGTTATTTTAAAAGTGGCAATGCTGCAAAAGAGCAGCACACAAATTCACCTCTTCTCCTGTTCCTTGCATCACCTCTATAGGAATGGCGTATATCTTGTTGTGCATTTCTACCGTTCTCCTTTTACCGCCGCGGATTTTCACTAGCAAGACTCTAAAGTTTGTTCCTCCGAGGTCAAGTGCCAGAAAGTCTCCATTCTCTGTAAAAGAACAGGGGTAAAAGAATAGGATAAATGAAATCTAGAAAAAGAGGCCCACTTCTCCCCAGAAGGTGGAAGGTGTCTATCACATGATGATTTTAGGGGCTGCTCTGTATATTCCAGACCTC